AATCTTGTGAATATTAAACTCAAAACTCACGAAAAACTATCTGTTCAGCATCAGTTTTAAGAAAACTTAAAAAATACTGCTTAGAATGTTGGAATATTATGAAATAAGGAATTAAAACCAACAATAAATCTTCCTAATTAACGTCACTTCCTGGACAAACACTCACTAACATTAAGAGGTATATGAATTTTAAAAAAATAATCTATTGTCCTTTCACCACTAATGGCTTTCCAAAGTCTCTTTCTGACATCTAGTTATAAGTAATCTGTGTTTTTTTCAAAATTATTATGAGATTGATTGAACAGAACACTCTGTCTTCATTGCTGGGTAAACTCACATGGTGCTAAGGACACAGCAAAAAATCCATTTTCATGTTTTTTCACAGATTGCAATTCATTATAACTGATTCCTATGTGACCCAAAATCAGAATGGGCTTCCAGTATAAAACTCTAGTGAATAGTTCTTCTCCGGGAAGAGAAGTACATAACAAAGGATTGGTAAAGCCAGTAACTTGACAGGAGAAAACCCACAGGAATTAACAGGATCAAAAAAACCCTGAAGTCCTATGCACATCCAAACCTACAGTTAGATGTTTAAAAGGTGTTTGACACCAAGGTTTTCTTGCTAATCGGCCCTCGTTGAGAAATACCAAATAACTGGAAGGCGTACACTCACCTCAGCAACACGATTCCTAATTCAAGTGCCACACCTCGTATTTTGTACAGCTCTCTGATTCTTATCTCCTGTTTAGGTTGTATTTTTATTGTCCAGATCACATTGTGGTTATGTAGACATAATGCGCACACACACACATATACATCCACATAAATATTTATATGCATATGTGCCTACATATACAATACAGTTTCTCCAAAAACTTTACATTCTAAGCTGATTATTATCTATTGTCTCTCCCAGCAGAAGTTTGAGACTGGTGGACCTGTTTTTTTCAAGGTACTCAGCACTTCTTATGCTCAAAACACAGCTTTCATGGAGTTCACATGCCAGCAGCATCAGACCTACAAGTTATCTGAATTCCAACACCTCCTAAGAGCTTACACCGAGTAACTGAACTCTGGCCTATGTTAACTATTATGGATATGAGGCAGAAGATTCTGTGTGTGTTTAGTTTTCTAAATCCAAGTGATAGCCCCATAGCTTACCTCACTGTAAACTGTACAGGGTTTTCTACCTCTTCAGTTGAACTCAGTTTGAAACTGGGGAGAGAAGCCTTCCACTTACAGTGCACCAGGATAATTTCTCAACCCTCGTGTTTCACCATTTCAACCGTAACAAGAGTTACAGAAAATAAATTCTAATGAGTCAACTAGCCTGGAGCCTTGGTAGGTGATAATAAGGCCTTCAAAGGAGCACAACAAAAACTTCCTTCCTCATATGACAAGCAATTCACTATTCCTTTGTGTGCACTTCCAGATCATGGGGTCTATGTAAAGTTTGTGCTACTCAGTAGGCTCCCCGGACCTGGAGTCTTGGCATTTAAGACAGCACATGCCAGCCTAACGCTGTGTTAGAAACACAGAGTTTTCAACTTCTGTTCTAGTTTTTGCATGCTCATCAGGCTACACATGGTTTTGCTGGGACTTCTACCATAGAAACAGAAGAAAGGTGAAGATGGCAGTTGACTAACTGTGCCGTTTTGTTTCCCAAAACCAGACCTTCCATGTATCTCTGTGTGGGAAAAATACTAATTTATTCTACAGTTTTGTGATGCAGGATTTTAATGCATTTCTTAATATGATATTTGAGTTCTCATTTCTCTTCTTGGCAACATATTTGAAAATGTCACAGTTTGAGCATTTAACCTGGTCTAAATTCAGACTTAGGAGCCCGTGGGAAAACCCTGCATTCATTCAATCACACACAGAGGGATAATGTTGGGAAACACAGGATAAATGACTATGTACATATTCCCTGCTGACAACATGGCCCTAGCTCCCACATGGTGTCCTGGAGCTGATTCAAGAAGACATCCCTACTAATGCCTGTTCATTACACAATTAAACCACTTTCATAAGAGCATCAAATTCAGCTATTTGATCTCCCAAGTTCTACATTTAAGAACTTCATTCAATGTCACTTCTGACTGAAGGAGCTCCAGAAAACAAGAGTTTTCATTATTCAGATGGAGTATACCCTTTCAATTCAGTATTTAACTTTTCTGAATGTACTTTTTTTTGAAGAATGACCTGTTTTCATTACTTCAGTTTATTCAGTTCTATGTTTCCTTTTCACTTCTATCGATATTAAGTAGTGGCATTTAAGAAACACTCAGCAATCACAACCCACCACTCTGCAATGCTGATTCACATTTTCTGCAGTGACTCCAGGGAGAACAAAACAGCAATATGGGATCAGCTCAACACGAAAAAAAAAAGCTTAGCTGCCAAATTTTGTACTGAACAACCCAGAGGCCTTTCTGCTTCACAGAAATGCTTAATTTGTTGCAAATTCAACCACACTAACAGTGCGAAGTTCCTCTAATGTTTTTTAAACAGCCAAAGACTGTTGACTTCAACAACTACTCCTCCAATTCAAACATCAGTGATTGAACTGATTCAGCTCAGCCTGCCACAACACTGGTCTGTATCTTCACATTGTTTCCTAAATCATTAACAGTTCTTAAAAAATGTTTGCAAGAAGTCTGTATTTGTCTACATAAGGTAAAACATCAAACGTCTTCCACAACACCTCTATAAGTTCCCTAAAAGTACCCAAACTCACAAGCATTTAGTGGCTACCAGTTGGCCCTGTGCCATCCCCTAAACCAGCACAACTGCTGTAATGTACTCCAGTGAGATATACAGGGGTTTGCTTGCTGGTTTCTAAACTCCAGGATGCCTAACTTTTTAAGATAAATTCTGCTAAATACCCCATTGCAAACATCTTTTGCATAAGGAGCTATGGCAGCTGTTGCACATATATTGGCTCTTTCTTGCAGATCATGTCCCATTCTTAAGTTTGGGTGGCGTTGTGGTACAGTTTCCTTTCAGTGAGCCACCTTCTCTGTGAGTTAATAGCAGAGCATAGCTGCTGGGCTACTACAGGACAGAAGTATTTCTTCACTGAAAGACAGAAACAGGATGTCGCAGCTTCCTGAACTTTCCCAGCTGACTTTTAGCAAAATATTTCATATCTTTCTATTACATTTCTCCAAAATGTGAAATGAGTAATACTCCTCATAGGCTGTAGTTATCTTCAGTATTCTACTAGGTGTGTGTAAAATCTTAGAGGTAGGATGCATCAGGAATTTTGACTGGGTTCAGACAGTCTGCAGCATGATCATCTACTAGAAGATGAAACTGCCTATCTTTTCAGATGGATTAGTCCTAAACACAAAGTCTGTTCAGTGGGTGGTCTGGACAAAAGCGGACCATAATACTCAAAGCATGTCGGTAAGAGATGGCATGCCAGGAAAGTGAACAGTCTTTATTGTATTTTATACATATTTTGTTATAATTTTCATAGAAAATGACATATTGCTCTCTTTTTTTACCTAAACCTCTTAACTTTCATGTGCCATATAAAAACAGTATCAAACCATAAGAATTCAAAATAGATCAGTCTGTTTAGACAAATTATGTAAGAAAAATAGACTTATATAGCTCACTGAACTTATGACCCAAAATTGTGTGCCATACACTGAAGACTCATCTAGGCAATCCATAGAACTGCATTTGCAAAATAAAATTTACAGACTACCAGGAATCACTGGAGCAGTGAATGTCTGCTGAAA